ATGAGAGCAGCTAAGCAAAGCATGTTTTTTTAATGTAAATAGGTGACCGTTCAATAAATAATATCTTTTCATGAAGAAAAATCTAAAACTTAATGGTTTAGAAAATAATATTAATTGATTATATTTCTTCATTGATACGACTTTTCTATTATGTTTTATTCAATATATGTGTAAATTCTATTGGAAGTTCTAATATAAACTATGTTTCATTTTTTTCTTCTGTAACAAAAATCAATTCAAATTTACAACAAAAATAGAAGAGTTTATCATTGAAATTTGACAAATCGAGCAAAAATTGACTTTTTTTCAGAAAATTATTTTTCTTCGAAAACGTTTAATGTGACATAATATCTTATATATTTTGTTTGACTGTTCAATAATTAAAATTGAAGAAAAAATGTTTATTTTGACTATTTATTCGATTTTTATTCTTTAATTTAGAATTTCTAAAATAAATGAAATAAAATAAAATCGAAAAAAAATGTCAAATGATAATAACAGTTCATCTAGAATAAATGATGATCTCAGGATTTCGTTGATAACTTACTCATTTTTCATCCATCATATTTTATATATTTCAAATGATTGATTGTATAATTCTTGATAAAAGAATATGTTTTACTCAAAACATAAACCTTATTTCTGCATGTTTACACTTAAAAATGATTAACAATGTAATCAATCCTTAAAAGAATTCTACAGTTCGTACGAATCTCTTTTGAATAATTCATATGAGTAAACGATAACTGATAAATCATTTTAAAGATACTTTTTATTCGTTTATTATTGTTTGATTAGAAAATAATCATAAATAAACTCTATTCGGAGTAAAAGTAAATTTTTCTTCGAAAAAAAAACCGAAAAGCCTTTAGTAAATAGCTGCATTTTATAGAGTTAAAGAATATCAATAACTATGATGAGAAAACAAAATCTTCTTTTATTGTTGTTCATTGTTAAAAATTCAGTCCAAGTATTTATTTTTGTTGTTAAGCATTATTTAATATGAAAAATCACAAAAAAACCGTCCAAATAAACAAACAAAAAGAAAACAAAAATGAAAAAGTCATTTTTAATAATTATAAGGTCGACTTCGTTTCGGAAATCGACTATATCCACCAGCACCACGATAATTATTTGAATATCCACCACGATTATTATTCCATCCAGATTGATAAGATGATGTCTGTGGTGGAACATTCATTGACGATGATGTTGAAGAATAAAATGCATTATCATATTGTCTCTTATTATTGAATGATGATGAAGAATTATCTGGAGTAGACGGGAATGTTGTTGGATCAGGTGAGAAACTAAAACCACTACCAATCGAACTTAAACAAAACAAATAAATTTTATTCAATCAACTTTTATTCGTTTTTTGTTTTTTTTTACTTATTTTGCGGTTGATATTGTTGTTGTGGTGTATTGTTACCTCGATAATTATATCTATTAAAAGGACGATTACGTCCACCATGAAATGATCTATGATTATATCCTCGATTTAATGGAAATAATTCATTTGAACGATATTCAGATGAAGATTCACTAAACAAAAAAATATTTTAGCTTTTTTTTATTTTCTATATAATAATAACAAAAACAAAAAAATGATTTATTACTTAAAATTCGAATCAGTTGATTCTGTTGTATTATTATTTTCATTTATTTTTTCACATAAAATATGTTCAAGTTGTTGATCAGATAAAAGACGAATTAAATAACATAATTTTTCAACTGTTGCTGGACGATTAATAATATCATTTGGTTCTTGTGTACATCGTATAATTAATGCTTCAATAGCTGGTCGTATTGCAACTATTTTTGATGCTAATTCAATATTCATATTTAATAAAATCCTAAATTAATTCATAAAAAAATATTTTATTAAAATATTTCAAAATACAAACCAATTGTCAAGACAAATAAGATTCGATTCAACAACATCAACTTGATCAGAAGCAAATAATAATAATTGAACTGGTGTTGACATTGACATTTGTTTAGCAGATACAGCTCGAGTTTTTATCTTAATTAAAATAAAAAAAAAAGTATTTATTTTATTTAAATTTAATTATTTTAATTTTACTTTTTCCGTAAAAACAAAAAATGGTGATGGAAATATTGGAATTTCTCGTCCACAATTAACCGAATTTTTATGTATTAAGGCTTCTTTACCTTCAGTTGTTAATAATTTTCTTTTTGATATATGAAAACAAACATTTGGATAAAGAGCATAACAAAGAAGTGATATTACCTATTAATAAATAACAATAATTATGTTTTTTTTTTTTTTATTTTATTTTTTCTAAATACAATATCTAATTTCGAATGTGATTGTTCAACATCAAACCATTGAAATGATAAACATTCTTCTGGAAAACCTGACATTAACATTATATCTCGAAGTTGATTCTAAATTAAGAAATTAATTTAACATTTCAAATAATTAAGAAATTTAAATTATTTTACTCGTGCTTCATATGTCATTCGCATTGTTGATAAATTAAGACATTTACGATCACAATATTCAATTTCACCACGTTCACCATTACGATTTCTACAAGAAAACGTTCTTTAATTAAAACACAAAAAAAAAAAATTCGTTTTTTTCTTAAAAAATACTTTTCTCTTTCATATTGTTGAAATGCATTAAGTAAAGCAACATGATCAGAAAAACGATTTCCAGCAAGATTTCGATGCATATGACGTAAATGTTTTCCATCGTGTAAAAATGGTTCAGGAAAACTAGTTGCTGATGCTATTGTACAAGCGGCATCACCAACACTAAAATATTTGTTTTTTTTTAAATTAAATTAACTATTGACTTTAAATTTATGGTGAGAGTGGTGCCTTTTAGGTTTATTTACATTAGAAATAAACAATAGTTATTATTGACGCAAGAAATTTAAGAACGAACAATTTTCAGTTTTTTTTTTTTTTTTTTTTAACAAAACACGTTTAAAATATGGCAAATTTTCGTGTTTGTTTTCTCTATGGTAAATACCATTCGGTAACAATCAATGAAAATCCAGTAAGATTAGAAAGTTTTCGAAAAACAATCGAAAATGTTCTTCCACCATGTCGAGAAATCGATGATTATTTTTATGTTGTTAGTGGCAAACCTCCTCATAAATTAAATATTAATAATGAAGAAGAATTTAATGAACATCGAACATTAATAACAAATGGTTGTTATATATGGGTTAAATTAAAGTAACTTACCAAAAAATACAACCTAATATAATCATTTTACCAATTTTTGGTTCAATTGGTAATCGTGCTAAAATTTTTCCTAATGGTGTTAATTCATCATTTTCATCAATAGCTTGCATTTCTAAATTTTAATATTCTCATTTAAATTTGAAATAATAAAATAAATATTAAAACAAAAAAAAAAATTATTTCCGTACGTTTAAGAGAAAATTCGGCTTCAGCAACAGCATCCATAGGTGGTTGTTCAATAGCTTTAGATAAAAATAATTTAATATCACCTAATTTTAATAATTTAATAGCTAATGCAAGTTCATGTAAAGGTGTACGAAATATTTCAGGTAATAAATAATTATCTAAATGTTCATAACGTGCTTTTGAACAGAAATAAAAACAACAACCAGATCTTGTTCGACCAGCACGACCACGTCTTTGTGTTAAATTTGTTTTTGATGCCCAAACGGTAACATAATTTGTCATATTATTACGTGATGAAAATAATTTTTGTTTTACTTTACAACTATCAATAACATAAACAATATCATCTATTGTTACACTTGATTCAGCTATATTTGTTGATAAAATAATTTTTTTAACACCAGATGGAACATGTTCAAATACACGATGTTGTTCTTCACGAGGTAATTGAGAATGTAATGGAAGAAATCGAAATCCAGATGAACCTAATTAAATATTTTTCTTTTATTTAAATAAATAAAAAGAATTTATTTTACCAAATCTTGGATGTTGTTGAAAATATTTAAGTAATGCTTGAATTAAATTCCATCCAGGTAAAAATATTAATATAGCACCATCATCACCCAAACTACAGATATAAATTATTAATGCCTTAAATTAATTATTATTCAGTTTCGTTTTTTTATTGAATTTATTTTAAACATTATTTTCTTACTTCAATTAATTCAAATGAAAGAGATTTTTCACTTAATTGACTCATTCCTGCTGCCGTTTGTGGAGAATATTCTTTACTACAAATTGTATTATAATTAACATCCTTTAAACATTAAAAAAAAAGAAACATATTTAGAATTCATTTTCATTATGAATACATTTACTATTTTATCTTTTTTAACAAAAAAAAAATCATTTATAAACTAACCAGAAAGTCATAACTAGATATGAACAAGATGATCTTTTAGAACTTACATTAAAATTTCTATTCTCACAGCTCATGTGTTCAACAAGTTTATACGAAAATTCTAAAGTAACGATCACTTTAATATTTTCTCTTTAGATTTTAATAACAAAGTTATCGAATGCATAAACATGCACAATAGGCGAAATATTAAAAAAAATGTAATGACTTGTCAAGATGAAGACTATTAGTGGTCATATGGGTCGTGCAACATGTCTCGAGCTCATTGATACTGTTGGAAAATAATATTGTATTTTTCGCTAGGATATGCATTACTAAGTGCGAAGCCAGGACTAAAAATTTCTCTGACCAGTATTATTTTCTCAGTATAAAAAAAAACGTTTTGTGCGAATTTGACTATAAATTAAGCAAAAATTCATGTAAATAATTTTCCAAGATCTATTAATTCGTTTTCATTTAAAAGATTTTATTAGAAAATTCAATTTTTTATTATCATGAACTGATTAATCGAAGGTTCAAGAAAATCTCTCTAAAAATTAGATTTGACTACAGAAAAATAAAAGTTTCAATTTCATTCGATGAAAAATTAAATAATGGGACTCGACAAAAGAAAATAATAAAAGTTTAAGTTCTTATAGAATTATCCTCATTGAAAACTATAAACAGGGAAAAAAAATTAGATCCAAATCAAATAGTATGACCTGTAAACGACTCGAAAATGGCGAAATACATTGATGAACGAATATCGGCTATAGAGTTATCGTTATGATACCTTTACTTTTCCAGTTTCAACACAGAATAAAAAGTATTTTAAAAACATTATTAGATACTTTCTAATCATGGGTAAGAGATTGATTTCGATGATCTTATCTATAATTTTTTTAAATTGAAATAATTTCTAATTTTTCGTCAAAATATTTTGTTGGGATTGAAACGCATTTCACGTTTTTTTTTTTTTTTGAGATACTCTAAGCATCAATATTCAATAATATGACGGACGCTTTATAAAACTGTCTCTATCTTATGTCATATGAGGATTGACATGATTTTAATATTAAGTATTATGTTCGAAAATAAATATTTAAGAATAAATGTGAAACCTCAATATCATCTGCTTGTGAATCTTCATATCCAAGATCATCATCATCATCTTGTAATTGACGATTTTTATTATTTTGTTTTCGACTTGTTGATGATGAATTTATTGGTTGAAAATTAAGTAATTGAATAATATCTTCAAGAAAATATTCTCGAACATCAAATGTTCGTCCTTCAATTTCTACTATTGAACAATTAAAAAAATATTGACGAAATAAAGTAACATCAATTGTTGCTAAATAATAATAATAAATATTTTTTCCAATTATGTTAAAATATTTTAAATTACCTGACATAAGAATAACTTTCAATTGAGGATAAACATTAAGCATATCACGAAGTAAAACCAATAAAAAGTCTGTATTTATATCACGTTCATCTATACAAACAATATTAAACAACAATAAAATTCTTTCATAATTTACCAGACAATATTTCAAAAATAATATATCAAAACAAATACGAAAAATTCTATTTTGTTTTAAGAAAAATCGAAAATATTAAACAAGAAACATAAAGATATAGGATTGAATACTATCAGAAATATTTATATTACTATGAAACATTGTCATCGGTATCCTAAACACAGTAATCTTTCAACCTTGGTAATCTCAAAATATCCTTTAACATTTTATTTATTAATACACTAATAAATACGAATAAAAGTCGACTAACTCTTAATCAACTGATGTTTGCTCTTATAAAGGCTAAAATCGATTATATATTTCCCGAATAATAAAGATTAAAGGTGCTTTCTGAATTCGAATTGTCACTTTCGTTCAGTACAACAATAATTTATTTTTATAAAAAAAAAAAAAAGAATACTTACGAATTTCATCAACAATAACATGAGATATTCCTCTTAAACCACTTTCAAGTTTTCTTAAAAGAACACCAACAGTACAAAAAAGTAATGAACCATATGGTCGAGGAAGAATCGACTCAAAACGAACACTATAACCACACGAATTACCCAAATCTTCACATCGTTCTAAAACAATTTTGAATTGAAATAAAATTAACAAAAAAAATAAGAATAAATAAACAAACCCCAAGAAACACGTTCAGCAATTGAAATAGCACTTATTCGACGTGGTTGAGTAACAACAACATTACAATAAGCACCTTGATTATGTTGAATAGCATCATCAATTATATATTGAGGAATCTAAAAAATAAAAAAAAAAAAAAAAAAAATTTTGAAATATTTTTATTGAACTGACTTGTGTTGTTTTTCCACATCCAGTTGCTCCACGAATAAGAATAACATTATTTTTTTTTATTTGTTCAAGTATTTTTTGTTGATAAGGATAAACAGGTAAATTTTGACGTTCTTCAAGACGACATTTTAATTTATTTTCTATTTTAGATTGTTCAGCATGACGTAAATCTTCACTAATTGATTCCATTGTAGCTGTTGCTAATGGACCTTCATCAATATTTGATGCTATCCATGGATTCCAATTTGGTATTGGTGGTACCCATTGAATTATAGATGTTGTTGTACGACGTTCACTTGGAGGAAAACGTTCTAATATTTGAGGATTTAATAATGAACCATTTTCTTGTTGTTCATTTATCTATAAACAATTTTTTTGTTTAAATTTTATTCAAAATCAATTTATTCTCATACCACAATTGGTTGAATATTGAATAATTGAATAACTTCATCAAGTTCTTTGACAATATCATTACTAACAGTAACACGAAATGGTGTTGTCTATATTGAAAAGTGTTCAAAAATGATTTAATATAGATCGATATATCATATGGTTATTAATAAACTATTCTCTTTTACGAAGATAATATATAGTATACCTTCACTGGCGGTACGACTAACCGAGAGAATGAGTACGGTCGCCTGTTTTAGAAATTTTGACTGTAACTTTATTCAATTTTTAAGAAATGTGAGCTACAAATTTGTTTCATATTGGGTAATCTATCCGATCTATGTTTTCTCAAAATGATGAAAGTTTGTCAACTACTTTCTTATTTAATTTCATTTAATTTTTGGCTTCGTTTTTCTCCTATTTTGTGAATATTTTATGTAATAGAACGATTTCATTTATGAAATAGATATTCAAAATATTGAAAAATTTCATTATTTTCTACGAGAAATCGAAATGTTTTTAAAGTATGCCAAGCTTTTCCATCGACAGAGACTCAAAATAATTCATACAAATTGTTGAAGTAACTCGCACTGTCACGAAATACTAATACGATTTTTCAAAAGTATTTTTATCAAGAAATATTGCAGAAAAAATGTTTTAGTAGTTTTTAAAAAAATCAGTTGAATTTACTTTTTCAATTTGTTTTTTCTTTTTTTCTCCAGTAAATGGTTCAATAATTTTTAAATGATAAAGTTGCCGAACAAGTGCAAGTGCACAACTTTTTGAAGCAATTTGTTTTGTTGATCCATTTTCTCGTGCATGAATTGCTACAAAAATAAAATTTTATTTTTCTTATTTTTTTAATTTTATAATTAATAATTTACTTTGATTACGTTCTCGTATATAAACGGATAATTCAGCAAAAAATGTTCTAGAATATGTCTGATCATTGAAAAATCTCTATAATGGAAGAAAAAGTGACTAATGCCATTCTTCATTTATTTATGTTTTTTCGTTTTTGAATTCTCGATCAATCAATCTAACTTATGAAATTGTTTTGTGTTCATTAAATTTGAACATAAAGCAAGATCGATTGATCTATTTTTATTAGTTTTTGTTTTTTTTTATAGAGATTATCGAAGTATGGACATTAATCACTTTTCCAGAGAAATTTCTTTTTTCTCTCATGTCAATATTAAACAAACCGAAGATTATCTGGTCCACTTGACGTATATTTATATTCTTGTGGAAGATTATTTTTTTGTAAATATTGATGAAGACGACCTTTAGCATTTTCAATCGTCCAATTTCCGTGTATTGATGCATTTGTGTCAGTTTCTTCTTGCTAAAAAAAAAACCTATGAGAAAGATTTTCGATAAAATGATTGTCACAAACCTCTTCAAGCATTTTACGATCGGAACGAATATGTTCAAGATAATGAGATGGTGGTCCTGGTTGATATGGAAGAAGACTAGGTGGTGGACCAACTTCGTCTACACAATAAAAACAGAACAATAGAATTGAAGTAATGAAAAGCAAGAATTAAATTTAGATAAAGATTGTAGAAGAACAACAGTTTTATTTTCTACTCTGAAAATATTTTGATTTTTTTTATTAAAATAAGATCGATTTTCCAATTCAAATCTGTTCTGTTCTGAATGAATAATGACTAAAACATATTTTTATTCATTTCAAAGAGATTACGGATGTGATTTGAAAAACAGATCAAGAAATGTTACTAAAGACAACTTTTGTAATTTTATTAGAAATCGCTAATGAATTTATTTCAATGCACAAAAAAAAGAAATAAAATATTTTGAAAGTTGGAAAACAATTTTAATACTTATTCATTCATTCATTATTAGATCTGATAAAAATATCAATTTAGAGACATGGAAATTGATCATAAGGTGTCTTTTAAAGTTAAACTTGAAGAATAACTGCCTTGAGAAAAAAATTACTATGTTTACTTTAGAAATAATATATTTCAAAGTTCATCTTCTTTGCTCGGGAATTCATTCTTAGTATCTTTTATCTATCACAATCGTGCTTTTCATACTATAAGAATATAACTAACTTGCTGTCGTGTTACGTTGCAGCATATGTGGTGGTACAAGACCAGCAGGTAAAGTTCCAAGTGATTGTGTTGTAAGAACTGATGAATTCTTGGATGGCTATAGGAACAATTTTATTAATTCACTTAATAAAAAAAAAAAGACATTTTACTAGATATGGTTCAAGTTCATTTTCGGGCATTTTTCCTTCACGAACCTAAATTAATAATTTTTTATTGAAAACGAAAAAAAAAAGAATATTTAACAAACCAAATATTGACAAAAATCAATTGCAGCATTTGTTTGTGCGTCTTTTTTATTTGTTGAATTTCCAATTGCCGTATAAGGATATGATGGTACTGTGAGCTGAAATGAAAAATAAATCAAAGAAAATTTTGATACAAAAAACCATCAAGTTATGACTTACTTCACATTTAAATCGTATTCTTTGTTTAGTACCTTGTTGAGAAACTTCATATGATGGAAGTTTATTTTGTTTACCTAACCAAGCATATAGAAAACCTTTTATGTCACCAAAATTTCCACCAGCAAGATTAGATGATGACATTGTTAATTAAATAAAATACAATAAAGTTGTTTTATTTTCAAGAAATATGATTAATAACTAGTGTGCTTATGAGAAAAAGTTAGTTTAAATTTAGTTAGACAATTGAACTCGTTGGTCAACTTAATAACAAATCTTGAAGTTCAAATTTTCTACAATATAAAACAGTGACATCTATTCAATTTTAATTGACTTTTTGATCTATCGACAATTAGTAGACAAAATAGTTATGTTTATTATATTAACAAAATTATCAATGTTCTTTAGTAATATGAAAGTTTTTGTATGTGTGAAACATTTATTAGATCCTGTTTTATTACGGTTCATATTTTCTACAGAGATTTCGAAATATCTTCAATAAATAGTTTCATCGCAAGAAATAAAAACTTTATGACATTTTAAACGACACTATAAGTTAATCAAATTTAATTCTATGTTTATACGACGAATCGCTTTTATTACGATAAAATAAATGTTTTATATGAAATTATTAACTAAGATGTTACCATTGAAAATATTTTCAATCAATTTTATGTTTAATCATTGATCAAATAAACTTTCTATTTAGCTCAAATTAGTGATACATCGATCTTCACAAATCTCAGGAGGATTTCGTTTGAAGTAGATGTCGGAGACACAAACTACGGGCATCATGCACTGTGCGTGCTGCAGAATCCTCACACACCTGTGTGTACCAATTCTGCGGTGATTTCTCTAGGTAACAATACCGCATCATCCAATATTTGCATCTTCTCTATTAAACTATTACATCTCAGCCATACACAACTTTAGCAATGTTCTAGAAATTCAATAGAATTTCCGGAAAATCACAAAAAAAGCATCAAATTGATATATCATCCATGCTCTTATTCACATTTTTATATCCAACAAATTCTTATAGTCCCTTATATATGCTAATATACCGTATACATCTTATATATCATATGTATTCATAAATATCATATAAATCCCTGCACATACTAATAAACCCTACAAACCGTTACACAATCTTATACACTACTAAGAAACACTACGTTTCAAATTAACCTTTGTAAACCCTATACATGATATACACTTTTATTAACTTCGCGCATACTAAACTACTAATCTAGATATGTGATACATAGAGACTACTACATAAATACGAAAGAGAGTTAGCAAAACACTATACAGAGCAAAACTGTATACACTAGTATAGGAAGCGACAAACTTTTCTCCGATCATTAAAACTCTATTACAGTCGAAAAACGGTACTTACTTCAAAAACCTGGCAAAACTCTAGATAGATCCGTACTGTACTGAATAATTCATTTTTTGCTAACGTAAGTCCAAATCTTAGTATGCTATATATACGCTTGTCAAAAATCATTTTTCAATAAATCGGAAGCCCTTTATCTTGTACAGCTTCTGAAGTTCTATTTCAGAACCTAAACTGCACTAATCAATATTACAATTAGATAGATCGCTTTGGCTAAAAACTCATTTTTTTAACTATGGTGAAATTTCAGTATCGTGCAAAGAGGTAAATCATTGAACTTGACGTAAAATTAAATGAAATTCTATCACTAACACTTAATATTAAATATTAATTTTTTTCATGAATACCTGATATTAGGTTTAAATTTGACTGTGTAACATTTAATTACTATAACTTAATCAAATCAAATTAAAAAAAAAATTTCACCATTAGCACAAACCGTAATTATTTTATATAAAAACTGAATTAAAATGCATGTTTTCTTTCATAACAATCAATTCTATGTGAACTTTAATCAGAAATTATGGATGTGCTCAATATTTTGTTCAAGTACCACTGGAAACGATACTCAATTCAGATAGAAAACAACAATTTCAATCTTTACAATTACTTGATGATCAAAATTTGAATGCAATCAATATCGAATTTTCAATGCCACTAGGTCTCGATATTTTCGATTTATTCATTCAAAAATAAATGTAAACATTCTCTTGTTCTGTGAGTCATTATTTTAATGTTTGTTAATAAATTATTATGAAACGCAAGGTACAAATTATAATAAAAAATAGAAAAGAATTCTGAATTTGAAACGAAGCTGACGAAGTCGAAGAAAAATCACATTGATGACCTGACCAACGGCAGTGTTCAAAATTGGAACATTCTTGTTCAGTTAAATAAGCATGACAATTATCACTGTCAACATATTTCAACATGATAGGACATCGTTCAATTAATCTTTTACCGAAGCCAGTCTGAGTTTCCATTGTATTATTATTACTTATATTGAATACAAGTACAGTTTGACCAATTTTATATGATAACCAAGGTTGCTCTTTCAAATGAAACGCTGTAAAATAACGAACGAGTTTCAAAGATAGATTAGCTTCGGCTGGTGTAAATCGAGTAGCAGCAAAATCATTGTTAAATACATATGGTATTTCAGTAAGATGAGAAGCATTGAAATGAAACGTTGTGAACGCCCAGGTTTCGGTAGCATGCACAAAAAAATAGGCGTAAATTGATGATGACCAAGCAGCAAGATAATCAAAAAGAAAAAAAGTAGGACAATGAATGTAATAGTCGCCGAATAGCCAAGTTAGAGCAGTAAAATAATCTTTATCAGTTGTTGTAGGATCATACAATTCTGCCAGATTATCAGGTATTCTGTACTGTGTAGCCCAAGGATAGTACTGAGATGAATTGATAGCCATATTAAATTGGTTGAACGTCAATACACTAGTCTGACCTTCGTTTGTGTTCATGCCACCTATGATCGATGCTTTCTTATTGAAATCACCTTTTCGAATCAATGCTAACGGTTGTTCATTGAGTTGAGAACGTTCACCAATACAAGGCCACAATGTTACCCAGTTGACTGTAAGCTTTTCATAGAACAGTGATGCGTTCAGTTGACGAAAACAATTAATATTTGATTGACATTCTGGAAAAGATGTCTCAAGTAATTTCAAATTTATCTGTTCCCTTACTTGACAAGTGTCATAGCGAAAAGGACCACTTGATTGCAAAATAGCAGACGAATAGAGTGACCAACTGGATTGTATCAATAAATGTGCAATAGTAGAACCACCACCGGCTGATTGACCGAATAGCATAACGTTCGTTTTATCACCGTCGAACGATGCAATATTCTCTTGAACCCACTGCAAAGCTAATTGTTGGTCGAGCCAGCCAATATTTCTTGTTTCAACAGCTGCTAGTGGAAAAAAACCGAATATACCAAGACGATAGTTAATTGTGACGATAATTGATTGAGAAAGACGAGCAAGATTTCGAGGGTCATAATCATTACTACTACCAGCAGTGTAACCACCACCATGTAGCCATAAACGTACTGGTAATAGTGATGAATTTCTTGTAATCGGTACCCACAAATTTAAAAAGAGGCAATGTTCACTTTCTGTAAACATAAATGGTTGATTGTAGGGACCAAACTGGTGGCAGATCGGACCAAACGCTGTTGCAGTTTGGGTTCCTGTCCACGACGAAGGTAGTTTAGCTGGTGTCCAACGCTCCGAAAACTCTCCATAACGAATGCCTAAGTAAATATCGACTCCATCAGATGTAGAACCAAGAATATCACCACTAGGAGTTTGAGTGACCACACATTGAATAGCAAAAATGCACGCAGTAAATATTAACAAAGAAAATACCTTCATCATATGCTATACGCAAAAAAGACGTTGTGACTTCTTTTGAGTAAATAATCATTTTGTAAATCAACAATATCTTATCAACACTATTATATGCACATGTGTAATAGCAGTAAAATGACTCACGAAAGAAGATTACCAAGTGTGAAATTACTTTTGGAGGGCGCAGGTGTAAATGTAAGTTTACTTGTATTTATCTGCTCGTCACACCCACATCCTAAATTCTAGACATCATGTCATGTCCTCTCATTTGCAAACATAAAATCAAAATTCAAATTCCGTTAAATTCAATTTCAGTTGTTTCTTAAATTTAATTCATTCAAATTTAAAATAATCTTAGGTCTTAAATTTTCGCTTTTCAAATTTCAAAAAATTTACTGATAATAATTTTAAAACAAATTAAAATTTCAGTTATATTTTGTAAACTTGTTGAAATTTATAGAGGTCGCTAAATATCGAGTTTCATTATTTGAATTTAATATGAGCTCTAATTTGTAGAGCGCGCTAAAATATAGTAGTGCTTTTTTATTCGTAATTGACTGCAATCTGTAGAGTTCGTTAAACATAATTGTTACTATAAATGTCATCAACTGTTTTTGACTTTGAACAGACTATATAATTATGATAGTAAAATGGAATTAAACATTGAATGGAGATCACTGATTGGGATGCAAAAGCACTTATACACAAAAAATCAAACATACAGAAAATGATATTCTAAAAAAGACAGCTCAGAAATAGAGATGTTAATGACAGACTTCTCAATGATGAACACAGCTCGATTCGCTCACATCACATTCGAATTAAATATCAAGTTATCACCATAAATTATGCTACTAGCTCCTTAAAAACTAGCTTTATGTTTAACTAGAATCGTTCTTAGTTCAGTCCAAATCGACGATCTTGCTCGTGTCCTATGAGTATTAGCTTATCAGTAACACAGGAAAAAGCCAGCTAGTACATTCTATTTTTGACTTCCGTTAAAATTCTTCGGAACTAGATCCAAAGAAAAATTTTAATATTACCAAAACCTAACGCCCTCTACAAATTACAGTAACTATCTGGGTCTTAAAAAGTTTTTATTGTGAAGAAACTAACGAGCTCTACAAATTGCAGCATGCTTCGTAAAAAAATAAATTTTTATAAAAATCTTATAAAATAATTTACTTTCAATATCCGTCGGCAGTAATCAATTTTTTTTGAAAGTTAGGTATAAATTTTAATAGTTTTACAAAAAATTGATAAAGTTATTAAATTTAAATCAAACGAAATTTTAAAATTTTAATTCACTTAAAATTTATTTTCTTTATGTTCTCATATGAGAGGTACCCTATCATTTATCCTAAGGGATCGTCCATCGATTATGTTTAGGTAAAGTGGGGCGAGGTAGGGGCCTCAAAACTTGACAAATTTGCGCAGAATGGCTGGAAGGGTTCAAATATGCCTATATTTCTAGACGTTCAGACACTTACGATGAACACTTTTCTTTTTTTCTACACAACTTTCGACGAAATTTTCAAGGTTACTTCGTTGTAAAGAGCATTTTTAACACTTTGCTGGTGACTCCTCTACATTTACGATTTCAAAATTTAGTTAGAGAAAAATATCATTAATTATACTAAAACAGGATCTTTTCGTATGCTTTGTATTTAAACATGCACATCACCTGTTACGGCTTTATGCACTAACGCTCTACACAGTATACAAAGAGATATAATTTATTAGTCTGAAGTACAGATGCTGAGTCATCTAACGTAAGGCGACATCATTGGTTTGTTTGTAATCATTCACTTCATCTATCATTCTAGGAGTGTGAATGTCGGTGCGAGTATGGGTATGCGGTGTGAGTGTGGCAAGGGGGAAAAAGCAGATTTTCGGCAACCAGAATCTCTAAAATCGTTGGGAATCTTTTGGGAGGGTGTGGATGTGAACCTTCTCTTCAAACTCACTCACACTCACACCGACACCCCCACACCCAGAGGGAAAACTCATATTTTCGAGCTTGCAAGCGAACGCTGAAAGAGACGACAAATCCGAAATCACCATTCAATGATGCACGCTGATTTCTACTTGGAACACGATTGGAACGCTTTGTGGGCGAATTGATGCTGGAATTGTCCCCATGGTTATCTATGGCTTGAAGGAGAAAAACTTATTTTGATATTTTTGGACAATTGGTTAATGTTATCAGGAATCTGATTGTACCATTCGATAGAGCGCGTCGAATTGTTTTTAGAGCACCAGTGGAATCACCTGGAACACGTCCTGGACGAATCGGTGCTGGAATTACTCCAATCAGATGCTGACTTCACTTACATGGGTAATCGAATGTAGTATTGTTTATACGTTTAAAGAAATATTTAATCTTACCCAAGAAATGAACAGTTGAAAATGAAAAGCTATTTTTCTATTCTTGAAATAAGTACCCATGTGATCGGCAGTTTATCGCGATTTTATCGATCTGGTTACCGACTCTCATTTATGCAGTTATCCGCGGCAAACCGGTACTTTTGCCCGTTCAACACGGTTAGCCGATGACTTTTGACGGTTAACAGCGGTTTACCGCGGTTTTGCCGATCCGGTTATCGACTCCAATTGCTGCAATTAATCGCGTTAAACCGCTGGTTTTGACAAATACAGTGGTTTACCGCAAAAAATGAGCCGGTTTATGCAACATGGGTATTCACTAAAGAAGTATGAATGACTCATCAGACAAGAATGGAGGATAATATATAGATAACCCATTAAAATAGTTCTTTTTTATTTTCCATTTAATTATTTCGTTTTTCTTTAATACACAACTTTATTTTATTTTTGTGCATGTTAGTGCATAAGCGTTTTGTTAAGCATTCTT